TGACAGGTGAGAAGGTTAGGGTGACTTTGGACATTGACGTCCTTGGACCCTGAGTCTTCTCTCCTACTGTGTCCCTTGGGCTCCTTTGGACCTTGGGGATCAAAGGAAACTCCCCACTCCATGGACTTCCTTACCAAGTGCCTGCCACTCCCTCTGTGTGGGTAGTACCAAGCATTGGGGATTTCTGCCCCTCTGTGCCAGGCAGGGCTGGGGGACTCTGCCCCAGGGCCATTCAGGATGCCCCTGAACTGTGGGTTTACAGGGCACATCCACTGGCCCCTGCCTCCTTCCCCGCCTGGCTGCTGAGCACAGATGTTCATGTTTAAACAGGATTTACTTCCAGGGTGATTCCTGGGGCGGGTGTGGCCCAGGAGCCAGCTCCACTCCCAGGGCTGGGGCTGGCAGGAGAGCCCAGGGCCAGGCTGGGGTGGTGGCTCCCTGCACTCCCAGACCTTAGTTTTGGGACTTTCCTACCGAGAGGTACCGGCCCTGGGCTCCTTTCCAGTGGTGCCATTCCTGCTGCAGACACCCCTCATGCTCTTTGGGGGTGTCCCTTTCCAACTCGGTGCCCTCTTCTCCACGTGGAAACCTGCCCAACCAGCCACCTTGTGTGTTATGAGATGTTTCACTTCCTGTTTCTCATGGGCCCTGGCTTCAGGGGCCACAGAGCCACAGGTTGTACAATCAGCTAGTTGGCTTTTTCTTACTGAGCACCTGCTATGTGCCCTGCCTTGAGAAGGGCAAGGACTGAAGACAGGTATGCAGGTACCAGTGTGGTCCTGACTTTGATGAGGACCCAGAGAGCTGAGGGTACAACAGACATTCATTAATCACTGAGTCTGTGCCAGGCACTTCATCTGTTTCAGTCCTGGCTACCACCAAAGTCCTGGCCTTACTACCATCGTGTCTTGAGCTGTTGGCCTCAAGCAGTCCTCTTGCCTCAGTCTCTCAAAGTGCTGGGATTACAAGCATGAGCCACTGCACCTGACCTGCATTTTGCAAAGTAGGAAAGTATGGCACAGGTTGGTAAAGTGACCTCTTCAGGCTGACCACCTGGTAAGGGACAGAGCTGGTATTTGAATGCAGGTCTGTCTGAGGTGGAGTCTGCTATTAGCCATGACACTTGCTGTTGGTAAAGGATTGTGGGAATGAGTTGGCTTCTGGAAGACCCAAGCTCAACCTCACCCACTCCCCTGCCTTCTCCCCCCCACCACAGGAACATTTCAATTACTACTCACTGGACACTGCCCTTGGCCACCTTGTATTCTCACTCAAGTATGATGTCATTGGAGACCAAGAACACCTCCGGCTGCTGCTCAGGTAAGGGCAGAGAGGAGAGTCCTGAGAAGATTCTGCCCAGGAAAGAGGGCCGACATTTTATAATCTGAGAGCCTATCTCTTTTCACCCACTCTCCTAATTGGGCCCAGAGAGGGGCAGGGATTTGCCTGAGGTCACACAGCAAGCTAGTGCCCAAGTCAGGCCTATGGTCCTTGCTATGGTCTGCCCCCTCTGGCCTTACATCATGTGGAGGGGCTCCCATCCTCCTGTCCCACTGCCCAGCCCCTCACCATGTGACTTTCTCCTCCCAGGACCAAGTGCCGGACATACCACGATGTCATCCCCATCTCCTGCCTCACTGAGTTCCCCAACGTGGTCCAGATGGCAAAGGTGAGGCCTCTGCCCCCCTTAGCCTCCCTTTCTGATCCCATAGGTGGGCACACAATCAGGCTTCAGTGGCAGCCTTGTTTCTGTGGTCCTGCATCTCACATGTTCCGTCCATGTCCAAGGCTACTACATGTTCTCCTGATTGCCTGCCCTTTGCCTGTGCATTTTCTGTACTCTTTATAGCACCCTCA